AGTATAATTGTACAGTCACTCCCCAGGCTCCGACAATTGGGCCAAATGTTGCGTATGCCAGCACACCGACTCCCGCGACGTTCGTTGTTTGCGTGCTGTGGGTATGGATTGCACAAAAGAGGGAGGCTAAGTGAGGACTATTTGAAGAGGAATGAAGGCCCTCACTTCGAAGTTGACGTTGGTTGGTGTGTCCCGACTGCCAGGCTAGGGACGGAAAGAAGGTGAACCCGTATGGTTTGATACACTAGTTGCTATGGCGACGAGACCACAGTGGCGTTCGTTTGGTGAGTTTCGTTGTCTCTCCTCATCCCGCTTATATTCCCCAAGCACGATCGCAGTTTTGAAGCATATTAGGTTACGAAGCAAGTTGTTGCCAGTTTTGGTGTTTTATAACGTTTATTAGCTCGTTATTACGAATATGTTATCTTTATGTATATCGGAAGTAAAGCTGAAGTGTGTTTCTCTCCTTCAGCTAATGTGTAATGGTGAGGATGATGATGAGAAATATCTCGTGTTCCATTCGGTAATTCCCACAACCTTGCTTAAGCTACGCTTTACAGGACTAATGCTCCAGCAATTGCATAAGCAGGGTCTCGCTACACTCTAGTTGGTGCGAACAAGTATGAAAAAAGGATGGCAAACTCCCAATTTGGCGTGTCCTTCGCAACGGTGCAGAAAACAATAACAGTATGACCAGTAAAGTCCCTTTTCGGTCTCAACGAAGTGAGATGCACCGACAACAGAGCGACTTCCCAGCGATTATTGTTGTTATCCCATCCGAAGATATTGTTGATAGACCACTCGAGCGCCTTCAAAAGAGTATAATTCTGTCCCAATAACTATAGGCTGCACAGTATAGCTCTGTAAATCACAATGCTGTCAATAACGAGTGTAACGCAGCTTTGTTTGCCGACTTTGAATATATAAATATACTTATACATAAAAATATAACTAAATAAATATATTTATATTTATATAAATATATGTATATATACCAACCGTCTGTGGCACCAGCAATAGCCGTGAAATTCAGATGTATGAGTATCGTTAAAGGAAAATCTAGCACAATGCAGACCAGTCCATGGTTTCGTCACAGTTCGTAATGCTACACAGCGGTGCAAGCCGAAACAGGGAACCGAATTAAGTGACTCCACCTTAAGCCATTGGCTAAATATGTAACCCATAAACAGCATGGTGAAGTAGAGGAATACCGCCCATTGGGACCCAATGCCCGATTTTTCAGTTCATACGTTTTGGGTCTAATGAGTCGTCACATGGGGACAAATAAATTCCGCGTCCATCCTTTGAACTGCAAAGCTTCACTGCGGTGAAGCAAGGGATAGTGGCTTTAGTTTGTATATATATATATATATATATATATATATATATATATATATATATATATATATATATATATATATATATTGACCACTAGACCAACAGTACAAGTAGCAGTGCCACAACATATAGACAAAGATAACAAAACCATAATGAAAGAATAGGGAGTTAAAATGATGTGTATAGGAACCGTTATGAGGATAGAATCTCCCAACCGGTTCGCCATTGCCCACGGTTTCTTGACACGTCCAGCCATGCGTGCTGGTGATCCTTGCACCCCCAACCAAGGAGTCGGAATTGCCCGACCGCGGCAAAATGTGAGCTCAGCGTCTTCATACTTTTGGCCCAAGCCATTCACTGACCACCTTGTCATCGTTTCCAGACGACTTTTGTGTACACAGAGCGTGCACGATGGGGTAAACGCTCTTTAAGCATGGGAAGCACGTGCCCAAGCCACCGAAGCATGTGCAGTGAGATTATGCAGCTCAGCGGCCCGCAAAGTCTGTCTGATCCGAAAATCCTTCGGCGAACTGCCTCATTACTAATGCGACGTTACCACGGTGCACCAGCAAAGCTCCGGAGGCAGGGATGATCAAAGACAGACAACGTCTGAACGTCTTTTGCACTAACAGGCCAAATCTCAAAACCGTAGAGCCAAGTCGCTCTCAATGAGGGATTGTAGACTCTGCCTTTCGAGGATAGAATCAGGTCGCGTCGTGGCGGAGGTTAGCAAATGCAACCCCGACCTTAGAGATGCGCGAAAAGACCTCAACCATTAAACCTTTACCACTGATGCGGATTCCGAGGTAAACGAACTTCTCTACTACTTCCAGATAATGACTTGAAATGGTTCGGATGGGAGTAGATCCTATCCAATTCTGTACAAAGACCTTACATTTTGTGGGTGCGAAGGTCATTCCATGATGGGAGACAGTCGCCTTCAACACGTACAGCACATTTTGAGCGGCCTGTAAGGAATCGCAAATTACTTCGACATCGTCCGCATACGCCAAATCCCAAAGGCGGTCCCCCTAAGGCAGCCCAACACCGCCGGGTTCGCAGTTCTTTAGCGCACTCTGCAGGGTGCCATCTATAGTGCAACTAAACAGAAATGATGATGCTGGGCAGCCCTGTATCACGCGAGTGCCTTGGCCATGTTGAATACCGAGTCCGCGCTCTTCAACCTCAAGTATACCGATCTGTACGTTTAATTCCCGTGCAATCACCACCATGTCGTTGCGGCGCTTTGTTCGGAGAAGGCCGGATAGTTGACGTAGCGGGGAATTCTTCTACCCAGCGAACATTGGAATGCACACGGTAGATCAGGAAACGACGGGCACTCAAACATTAATCGTTCTACCACGGATTTTCACTTAACGGCAAAGTATATGAGCAATTTTATGCCGTAAGTGACCACTAAACCTCCGGTCAAACCACATAAACCAGAAGCTGTGGGACATTAAGTGATTATTCCGTGTGAGCCTCCATAGTTAATGAAGGCCACGTAAGCAATGTGGTAGCTTGCTACTGTCTTACGAACAAGAAATGGAGAAAAACTAGCAGTCAAATAAACCTAGTAAGTAATGTTGCGCAAACGTATGTCTTGGTGTTCCATCCTAACCTAGAATAAGATGCAAGAATGATGTTGGAATGCGGACGTTCAAGCACTTAACCATATTAAGCTATTACTTTTTGAATGCCATCCATGCGCAATGGCCATCGCAGTTTTCTCTGTATCGTCCCAATTCTTGTATATGTACCGCCGGAGTGAGTACAAGGGGCGACGCAACTAGGATGTAAACTGCGGCCGCACAATTGACAACTCGGCACGCTACCACCAGGCTTCATGCACGGCTTATAAGTTAGCTGAAAAACGGTCCGTCAAAACAACATCAAAGCAAACATTATAAAAATCAAAGAGCTCCTCATACTTTTAGGCTTTTTATAGGTTACACATACTGCTTAACACGACCTCAGCATTTAGTTCGTCAGCTTTTGCTTAATTTGGTCACTGCAGGCGGTAGAAGCGTTGTCCACTACCGACACTTGACAGCAGGTGTCTTTAACTGACTCCGGGCGGCAGTCTGTGGGAGCGTACGCTGCCACAACCAACAAGCGACGTCTGTTAGTCCCGCTACTAGGAAGTTGCAGAGGTCTCCAGTCGCGTCGCTCATGGTCGACTGTTGACTGCGATCTAGTCTAATGTCGCAGCCTCAGCACGTGTGCTCAACACAATCCCCACACTGGCAAGACCAGCGTCTTCAAAGATTCAGTCTCCAGCTAAAGGCAATGTACACATGCCAGCGGAAGTCGCAGACGGTGAAACCCACCGCAGTGTCGTGCTACGGGTCTTTAATCGGGTTTCAGTGAGGCTGCAGACATCGGTACCATTGGTCTCAAGCGTGCAAGCAAGAGCTGCTTGTGAGCCGATCTGCACCAGCATCCGGGCATTGAATGTCGCCAGCTTGAATTGAGAACGGGGCGCTAGGAAAGGCTGAATAGTAATATTTGGCGGTGCACCTTGGAACTTAAATTCCTGGTCCGTATGGTGAGAACAATCGGGAATGGAGGGGAATTACCAAGGATGTGAGAGTTGAACAAGCGTGGCATAATGTAACCGATCTGTGGTGCGGTAGGTTGCTATATTGCGTGTTCAACCGCCAGCACCTCTTTCGAGGATAGAATTGGCAAAGAGCAGAGAGAGAGAGAAGCAGCATGTTGTTGAAACAATGGTCCATAAGTTATGTGGGCATAGTGTTTCCCAGGTGCCCAGGCCGAGGAAGAGGGTTGACTTATGGGACTTCACCCAGAGCTTTCGGTCATAAAGCGCTGACTCGCAAGGTAGCGGGGCGATTAATATCTATCGCATACCGTTGAGAGCCGGACTACCACGATGATGGTAACACGGTCTTTAAGTAGGCGCAAACTACTCTGGACGGCAAAGAAGCCCGAATGAAGCGACGCGGGGCCAGGAGAAATTTCCTGGTCCACGAAAGTTGCGGAAGAGTACGAAGACCGTTGATAGCCTGGTGGCTCATAAGCCTTCGCAGAAGCCGGTGGCCATTGAGGTAGTTCATCCGCCCTCCGTTGAGTACTCACTTCTGGTCGCAGAAGTGGACGGTAATTGACCCAATAGCCGGTCACATTGGCTTGATACAGCGCCTTAGGAGCTCTTGTGATATGTAATGTGGTAGCAGATAAGCCCCTACGCTCCAAGACGCTGCCGCTGATCGTCCGCGAGTGCTTGTTCATTGCGCCTACGAACAGCCGAGACTTAATCAGTTATCTTTGCCAGGAGGACGTTCCCCGATCCGTAATCTGGGGAGGCCCGGGGACGTAAAGCTACGCCGAACCAATCAAAACTGGCGAGTCACGCCCGCTACTTCATAGTGTCGTTAAAGCGATATTTGTGGACTTTTCTGAGGATAACTTATGTCAGATGTAAACCAACCGCTTTCTGGAGCACTGCCGCCGAACAGTTTGTTGGAAGGAGATAAATCCGAATCACCCATCTTACACCTTTAGGAGTTAGTCCGGCAAGCTAATTAAAGGTGAGAATACAAAATCATTTCCTAGTGGACATTTTTAGTTACTGCGATTTGTCCCGTACGTGAAATTGAATTGTGATACTGCTTTAATGCATACGTTTTACTTCATTACAGGTAGCTCCTCAGATCGATTAGTCGGAGACCATTACTGACTAAAGACATGTCAGACAGGAAAGAAGAAGGACCCGAGCCAGTAACTGTGCCTGCCGGTACTGAAAGAGTAATCAACGTTCGTCGAATAGGTCTTTCGGACGAACAGGCAGTCCCACTCACTGTGAATACCAACTACCCTACCGAAACACGGTATTCCGAGATGGAGATACACACAAGTCAAGAATTTTCCAAACGCTCATCAAGGCCGGCGTCCGCCAGCTTACAGCGTCCGTCCAAACATCGCGGCAGGCGGACATCACCACATCGTAAACCTCAGTTGTGGAGTACGATCATCCCAAGTGGAGAAAAAGAAAACGGTGAGAAGGTTGTCAGTTGCCTGGAAATTGAAGTTCCCCAATCTGCGAAAACGATCTATGAGGTTCCAATCCAGCACGATAAGGAGCATCGCGAGCAAAACTATGTACACCGCCCTCCTAAGAAGATGAAGCAGCTAAGCCATGAAGCGTGGAATACAAGCAAAGAGCACTACGCGGATGGGAAACGATGGAGATATAGTGAAATCTTTGCTCCAAACTCAGGCAGATCACCTCATATGCGAGCACGAAAGTCTAGGTCCACCATTCTTCCGACTTCAGCTGTCCCAACTGCGGCGTGGAACTCTTTCTTTCCTTTTCCCATGGGATATTATCCAGCATATCCCCCGACTGCGTGTCCCCGTTGCAGATCTTACGAAATGGCGCAATTGCCCAGACGCAGTGTCAGTCATGATTGCATGACTGGATACAGTCCGCACATGATTAATGGATGTTGTTGTCCGGTATATCCTACGTTTTCAGCAGAAAACTTGTCGCCACAGCCACGAGGCAATTATGCTTTGTCAAATCAGCATCATCATCACCACCATTGTCACTTTCATACGGATCGTCAGAAAAGTGTTTCGAGGCCACTGCGATTGTCTACACAGAATATGGCAGCAGATATTGACTATGAGGATACGGATGAGGTGGATGTAGATGGTTACGAAGGTGTATGCGATGTGATGGAAATCGAGTACGCTGTGGTCAACAATGACAATGAAGATGCAGTATCAGCACAACGGATACTGAAGCAGATTGTCAAACTGACCAAACAATACTGCATCCCGTCACAGTCGTTGGATGAGCAAGCCAAACGTTTGAAGCTTGCTTTGGATGCGCGATACGACGAAAAATGGCATGTTGTAATCAGCAACGACTCGTTCGGTAGTGATTTGGCCTGCCTTCCAGGATCGTTTGCCAACTTCCGCATCAATGAGCGGGTTTTCTTGGTTTGGAAGACGTAGCTTTGGCTGACTACACTGCTGATTCAATGTCTTCTACTCTAGCTCAAAGTACTGTTGAGGTGGGAGTCGCATGTCAAATACTCGACAGTTCCCAGCATCCGTGGAAATTTTGTCCACTACCCGATTATCCTTCTAATCTTTGAGTCTTCAATTTATGAATGTTGTGATGTCATGTCCACATCCTTTTCGAACTTCGTCCGCTTCAATCATGATTCCTAGTAAACCTTCATTTTTGCCAGCACTATTTCCAACTGCAGCAGATTCAGTGTAGTTTGGGCCATTAACATCTTGTTCAGTTGGCATTGTTTGGGTGCATGAACTTTAGCTCATGCATCCGTGATGACCCTGAGAATCCTTGCGGTGGGTACAATTGGCATAATCATTTGAGAGTGGGTAAGCTTTCCACTACTGCTTCTACATGACGTTGTGCATATCTTTTCCGGGAAAATCGGCGTGGACGTCTTGTATGGTTAATTTTTCTTACAACTTTTGTTTGCTAATTAGAATCCAGCTTTTTAACTCATTTGTCTGGAAGTAACGTACAGTTAACAGACTTGCTCTGTGTATGCCTCTGCAGTCACTGAAGATGGTTACCTCTCATAGGGTCGCTCTTAGCTACTGTTCTCAAACGTTCTTTCAGCATTGAGTGTATAACTCCCAAGCATATGCATTCCGCTCATCCGATCGTTTAGACTAAACACCTACGCCGTGAAAGATTTGGTGGAGAAGTGCGTGAGCCTTGGTATCAGTGTCAGATGAATAAAAATTCCAGAAACAGATTGGTCTTGAACACAGCGCTTCTAACACCGCACAGCACTCTAGGTTTCGCCTCGTGTGAGCTCTTCCTGTGGAAATAACCTGGCTGGGACACGAATGCTGGACTCGGAGATTGCCGGTGTATGCCTTTCTCGTCACATCACCGCGCTCTGAGAGCAACCCTCACCACAATAATAACAAGAGATTCGTTTGGAATCGTTAAACTTAGCTGTCAAGTGAATGAATAGGAACATTCAGTCGCCATCTGCGCCACAACTAATCATGAAGCGAACCTCAAGCACTTCGATACTGGAGACAATATCTGAAGCTACTGTACGCAAGATAGTGTTGGCTTCTAACACTACACTGCACAATTTGTTCCGTCCTTACTAGAGTTAGCAGGAATTTGGGAACGTAAGGTGGATTTCTTGATTACCTCGTATGTGACGCAGTCAAAATTTTTTGTTTTGTGGATACTGAGCAGCACGACGGCTAAGAATTCAGTTTGGGTTCCGAAGTTCCTAACTGTGTTCGGATTGCTATGTATTTACGTTGGATTAAACGTCTATCAGGTCAATCACTGGAACTGTGTCGAATGCAGATGAATGCCACGTGTTACTTGATCAAATGGCTTCACTTCGATTCACTTTTCGTTATTTTCTTGATATCAAATTAGACGATAATTAGCTATCAGTTGCGCAGTGAGACTTAGAGTCAGAATCCTTTGCTAAGAATTGCTCACGCGTTGCTCAGTTAATGTATCCGTTCTAGCGGTCGGAACATTGGTACGTGCTCATGCACTTACTTCCATCTATCCACAGGAGAAGTCGCGGCCGCGTATGACTGCAGCTACAGTAATTGCAAGCAGAAGCCAGATACGTCGATTTCGCAAACCATTTGACTGCTTTCAAGCTTCTGTTCAGTAGTCCCTGCCGGCACTGCGAATGCTTTGTGCGTCTGGTCACTTACATTGACAAATATGTGCTCTGATCTTGGCCGGTTGAGTAAAATTGTGAATAGTGCTTGATCTAAGTTATGAACGTACTGCGATGGGTTGAAAGTTGATTTTATAACTGCTGAGCTAAACGTACCTTGATACACTACCAATAAGTAGTATGTATGAAATCTCTGCGGACGAAGGACGAATAACGTACCAATTAACCACCACCAATATATTGTAGATGAAGCTACGCAGCGGAATGGAGAATCACAACTACCAAGAAAAATTGCGCAAATGGACCCTATTTGCTGTGTTCGAAATATTACGGTATCGAACCATGGTTCTCTGATTCACAACTCGTCCGCACCACTTTGCATTCGCAACGGTAAGGGGCAGCAACTATCAGAGAACGTTGGGATGTTGGAGAATGGTTGTTTTGAGATAATAGGGTGAGATATTGGGGTAGTCAATAGACTTATGCTTTCAAACACAAATATGATTGGCAGGAAGCCGAGGCTCCTCATATTGGTTATCGCCTCGGGTTTTTGTACTATAGGAAAGCGGAACGATCGCTGGGATCATGGCTTGCCTGACTGTAACTGACGAACATTTTATGGTGTCAATGTGCTCGTGTACGTGGACACACACATAGATAAGGTGGTCGCATGCAATTTTCGCGTCAGAACACGGAACGTTTGACTCTAGTTGCAAGCACCAACAGTCTGCAGTTTACAAAGCTGCTACTGATAGATAAAGCATTTTAAAGCCAAATTTAACATTATTCCAGTCATGCTAACGAATAGCATTCCTGTTATTTGTGGACAACAGTTGGCAATTAACACCCATGACCCCCGTCTACTGAAACGTTCAATGTTTGTTGTTATAATGTAGTCGGCTCTCAAAGCGAAAGTTAGACATGTATCAAGTGTACCGTTTGAAAATTGGTCACCATTCATCACAGTTGGGGATACTTCTTTCAGTTGGAACAATGGAACAATGGTATGTTACGGGCAAAAAGCGGATGCTTAGCAAGTCCCATAGGATGGTCAAAAAGAGAAACACAACATGGTGAATAGAAAACAAAGGGATAAAAAGAAAATCGTTTTTAGTAGACTCACTACTGCGGTAACACAGAGGCACGCAGAAAGAGCCAACCACAGTTGTTTAGGTTACTTCTGGTTGTGCAACGTTCGTCGCATTATATCGTCTGTCGAGACACACAGGCTATATCTCGTAGTGTAGGTGGGTTAGGGCAACATCAATGCGTTTATTAAACACAGGCAAAGTGGGCGTGGAAACACGCAAGTTGGGAGGGCATTCCAAGGCAGTCACACACGAAGAGAGTAAAGGTTCCATCGAAATTCTAGCCGACTGTATTGCGTGGTTAACTTGAACTGGTGGCGCATAAAATTCATGTTGTGGTTCAGTTTTAGTAGGTGGCGGCAAACCTGGTTGGGGTTTCTTAAAATCTGGTAGGCTATAATGAGATCGCCACGTAGACGCAGGTACCGGCCACTGTATAATTTTAGGTTCCTCATTCTAAGTTGATAAGGAAGGTTGAACAACCCTTTGACGTGCTTCGTGGTTCATCGCTGTGAAGTCTCAAGCGCTGCAAGGTCTCGTTTGTGCCAGGGCTGCCACACCTGGATTGTGTATTCCACATAAGGCCGCACATAGGTGTTATGCAACTGAGAACAGACAGAGGGATCAAACCGCTTTAATGCCCTCTGCAGCATGCCAACGTGTTGGTTCCCGGTCTTTGACGCCTTCTCAGATTACTCTGAGTAGCCCAGCTTAGCCTCAACTAGTACCCTAAGGTCGCGCTCTCGGGTAACTCCTTGCAGGACATGAGTTCCAAGCTTGTATGTACTGTTCGGCTGGTGGCGAATGTGAACCACCTTACACTTCCCCGAATTGAACTGGAGCAGATTGTGGAGTGACCACCCATACGTTCTGTCCAGGTCTCGCTGAAGTGCATCATGATCTTCTGGGTCGGTGATCGTCCGCAACATCTTAACATCGTCAGCGAACAGCCAGAAATCTTAGGAATCAAATGCATAATCTCGTTAATGAACACGAGTAACAGACGCGGCCGCAGAACTGATCCTTGTGGAACTCCATGTTCGACATAAATCGGATCGGACAGCGCACTTCGAACTCTGACCTGCAGTTGCCGACCCTACAGATAATACTTGATCCACCCAAGGACAGGATCACCAACTCCATAGCTTTCGAGCCTGTGAAACAGAATGCGGTGGTCGAGTCGGTCGAACGCATTGGAGAAATCGAAGTAAATGGCATCTGTCCCTCTGCCTGTATCGCACGATTCCGTCCAACTACTGCGTGCAATCAGTAGGTTGATAGAGCATGAACGGTGCTGGCGGAAACCATGTTGATCAGATGCTATGATATGGCGTTCGAGATGGTCTACTAAAGCCTCATCGGTGCTTGCGTCCATATTTTTGAAAGCACGGGGTGGAGGACGACTGGGCGATAGTTGGCGGGTTCCGAGCGATTACCGCTTTTGAAAATTGGGGTGAGTACACCATATTTACACATGGTAGGCACACTTTGTTTCTCCAAGCACGTTTGGAAGAAATGCGACAATGGCCCGGCCAGTGTTGTTGCTGCTACGTTCAGCGCCCTTGGGTGAATATAGTCGATTTCGGGAGAGCTGCAAGTGCGTAGTGAGAGCAGTTGCTTCAACACAGCTGTGGCAGTAAAATCAATGTTACTGAGTGTTGAAGTTGGGGATAGGAATGTGGGTATGTAACACTGGCGGACGTTTCTCTGGAAGGTTGGGGCATACTGCGTTCGTAGGGCGTTGGCTGCCTCTTCTGCACTCTGTGCCACTCCGACTGGCGTGTTAAGTGGGAAGGGATACCGAGCTTCACTTTCCGGATGGTGTTAACATGCTTGTATAGGAGCTTTTAGTTGTTGGCAAATTTGCAGGTCAAATGTTGTTGGTGAGTCAATTTGTCCTCACGGACAAGCATATTACAGTGAGTGCATTGGGTCCCATGTTCGCTCCATCTTTCGGGACTAGGATGAGCTCTGTAAGTGTGCCAAGCTGTATTCATTATTGAGATGAGTTTGCGGGTTCTACATCTAATGAAAGACGAGGGATTGGTGGAGGGACCTCTCTTTGTTTCCGAAACAGTTGCGATTAGATTGTTGAAGCGTTTAGCAAACTAAATCCAGGCGCTATCAGGTGAGCCATCTTTCAAGAACTCCCAATCGGTCGTCTCAATTAGGTTGTTCAAGATGTTGTAATGTGTGATAGTACATGTTAGTTCTGTCTGTT